GTAGTTACATTGTTATCTGTTGTTCTTAACTGCAAAAGTACAGAATGATGTCTATAAGCAAACATAGTTTATTAAATATATTTTATTGAAAAAAGCAAAGTCAAATACAGGTATAAGCTTAGTCTTGGTCAATAAATCCAGTCTGTTTTTTCTTCTATATTATGCTTGTAAGGATCAACTTTTACAAAACTGCATGTATTTTTAAAGCACTGTCAGTAAACTTGTAAAAGAAATAGTCAATATATACAATGCTACTAAGTGTTGCTGTCGCCAAAAATCGTTACATAATATCAGGACCTTATATTTCAAGATCTCTTCAGTAACTGATACTGAGGAGATGAAGGATTACTGGGCTTTTGTTTCATTATCATTTGCTGTTGGAAAAATTTGATCTTAGTAAATTTTTTCTAGTAATAATACCACAGAATTGCTCTAGCACAATCTCACATTTTTGTATTTTAAAGCTAAATATTTTAACTGTTTGAATTAACTTTTGTTTGTTTGGTTGGTTGGTTCTTTTATTTTAGTTTGGTTTGTCTGTTTGTCTTTCTTTCTTTCTTTTAATTTATCTTTGAATGAGGAGCTACTACTCCTTGAATTGCGTATCTTACATCAAGAAATTACTCCACTCCCTAGCAAGCTTTTTTCATCTACTAACTCAATGCAATGGCCTTTCTGTACTGAGGGACTGCAGGGAAAATTACATTTAAACATCCCAACACATTGTATGTTATTTTCCAACTTTTCTGAACTGTTAAATTACAAAACTGTCCTATCCTCATCATAATATTAAAAATTTGGATTCCATACAAAATAGTAAAAATAAAAAAATCTATCTCCTAGAAACTTAAAAATGTTACTTTTGTTTTGTTTTGTTTTGTTTTGTTTTCTTCCCTGAAAGATTCTATAAAGGTAGGACCAGTGAAACTGCAAACGGAAATAGAAAATAAGTCTGATGCTCACGTTGTCTCTTCCTCTTTGATTTCTTCATTTTTCACCATTTCAATATCAATTTAGATATGTAACAAGGCCCTGATGACAGGGAGATTCTGAAATTATGCCCATCCTTTAAAAGCAGGTAGAATGACCAGGACTTGTAGGCTGATTAGTTTTATCTCAGTTCCTGGATATATAAATAAACGTGCACCTGGAATCTATTTTCAAGTTCATAAAGAGGATAGTCAGAATATCAGTTCATTGTACCAAAGGCAAATCATCCTTTAATGTATGATTGCCATCATCAGTGCAATGACTGGCTATGTGAACAAGGGAATGGTGGTGTTTCTTGATATCAGAAATGTTTCTGACCCTTTATCCCACAGTATGAAAAATGAATATGTGGACGGAGATAAATTTTAAATTACTTGGACATCTAGGCTGAAAACAGGTTGAAAAATGGCTGGACACCCAGCCATCAGTGTTAGGTTCCACATTGTACACTATCTTCATCAGTGACCTGGATGATGACAAAAAGTATACCTTCAGCTGACTCAGAAATAACATTCTCTCTCAGAGAGAATGGTTGACAAAATAAATGGCAGACCTTGGCAGTTGTCAAGAGTGCGTTGTAAGCTTCTTGAGAAAACTCACTAGTTTCAGTAAGGAGAAACACAGCCTTGATACAGTTTAAGGAACTAGTGCCTGAATAGGACCCGGAGGCACAGTGGACAACAAGCTGAGTATAAGCCAACAGATCACTCATTGCGAATGGGATGAACTGCTTACAGTGTAAGTACATTCCATGGTGCTTCAATAGGAATACGGCTAGCACACAGGTGGAAGGCTCTTCTGCTCAGGAGGGCTGAAAGATGAGGCCTGGAAAACTGGAGAGTCCAGTAGACAGATATCAAAATGATCAGACCCAAACCACAAGGTTCAGGAGGAGAAACTGAGTGCATTAGATTTTTGGTTCAGGGGAAGAGGAGGCTGAGTGATCTCTTAGCATCAGAGTCAATTGCTTGAAAGTTAATTCCAAAGATGGTAGACCCAAGCTTTTTTTCAGTACTGCCAGGTATATATAACAGTGGAAAATGGCCACAAATCAGATATTGGGAGAAACCCATATTAGAAAAATTTGGTTTTACAAGGGTAGTCTATGACTCATAAGGAAAAATAAAAAAAAAAAAAAATTTTGAGTATCACTCTTTGACATGAACACCTATATTTTACATATAGAAACTTAAGGGAATGCATGGACTTTGCCATTCTTAATCTTGATGGGAGACCTTCCAAGTACCCTTTCTTTTCAGAAAGGAGGTCTGATTCTCCAGGCCTGTCATTTCTGCCTGTGCAAAGTTGATATATTTCTATAATAGCAAAAGCATTCCTTTTACATTTAGTCTGGATAGACAGATATAAATGATACAATCAGTCAAGGCAGTTGTGGCTCAGGGCTTTAAAAAGAACTCAGTACTCAATGTACCATGCAAGACTCAGTCAACCATGGATAGAGCATGTAATATATCTCTGGTTTAGGTTGAATGCAAGGTCTGTATTTATAAACCAGCAGTTGTTTTCATTGTAACTACCGTCAAATTCCAAAATATTTAGTCAAAACTAACATAAAAAACTACAAAGGGCTAGGATTCTTACAGTCAAAGAGATACTGAAGTGAAGAAGAGGTGATGTGTGGTGCCTGCATGTCCCATTTACTCTGCATTAAAAACTGCAGTATTTAGCGACCTTAATAGCAATAAAATCCTTGACTTAGGTATGGCTAATATTTCACTATGCGATTTTAAGTGGTAGCCTCTGTAATCTTCTGCATTTTAAGAAACATCTGCACAAATTGCTATGTTTCTGTAGATCATAAGTTTATGTGTTCCTTTGCTAAAGACTCTCTGAGGCATGATTCTACTAGCAGGTGGTATATTTGAACAAGAAACTTGAATGTCACATTTGAACACAAGATAAGGTCAAACTTAAATTACACTTTTTTAGTACTTTTTTTCTCTGTCTTTGTAGACTGTGTATATCATGGCTGGGATCACCGGAGCCCCTGTTACGACCCAGTAAAATGGGAGTATTTTTCTTTTTTTTTTTCTGGTTAAAAAGAGCACACAACTCCTTTCTTAAGGAAAGGATTTTATCCAGAATTACTAATGAGAACATGTGAATTTCTTGCAAGCAAACCCACAAGAGTCAACAGGAGCAGGAATCATCACTATTCAGGGCTGAAAAAAACTGCCAATCATCTGATTAATGGCATCTTACGTGCATGAAATATTTCTACTTGTAGCAAGATCTGGTCTCTGTAAGCAGCAAAAGCTGTGTCTAAACTGAGCTTGTCAATCACAGAGCCTGAGTCTCTCAACTGTCCAGCCGCACTATTTATTTAATTTTTGTAATCTGTAATACAATACTACAAAACAGAAATGAGAGAGTATTAATACGTGCTTAGGTGTTAATTTTAAAAAGAGTTAAGGTGAGTGAGCCAAAAGGAATGAGATCCTGGGATTCTTTGAGAGTTCTTAGAAGTCCTCAGCCTCCTTTGACACCAGAATTTACTGGGAGATGTGATCCACAACTTTCTGTACAGGGCTATGACTGATACCTTCCTCTAACACTGATTTCACAGCTCAATGGCAGCCCAAAGCCCCCACCTTTCAGTGTGGGAAGATTTTCCTTGTTCAAATGATGTTACTTTAGGGAGACTCTTACACATATGAAAAGCTGTCATAAATTTTCCCTCTTTTACTGCTTCTCATAAGGATTCTTGTCTCACATAAAGCAGATTATGTGACAGCAGGAAAGCAGCTGTCACTTGCTCCCAGATGATGCTGAGTTCTCTACCACCTGATCTCCTGTTGAGCTTGGACCTATATCTTACCTTTTGCCGCAACATTGCATGCTGGAAATGCCCAGACATGTTGTGTTTGTCCATCTTACTCAACTTACTTCACTCTTACTTAGCTGATGAGCATTCAGGTCTGGGAGGAATGTGAAAAACTACGTCTTACGGAGACAAATATTATAATTGAACTTATTTTGATTTAGTTTTTTCTCCCATCTGCATTATTTCATATTCATACAAGATATGACCAGATAATAAAAATGTCACATTGTACCAGGGTCTTATACAGTATAAGAATATTACAAATAGTAACCCTCACAGTGAACCTGCAGCTTAATTCAGTCTTTACTTTCTGGAGGGTCAAATACGAAAGTAGTAGGGAAATGTTGTAAGAAATGGTATTTTCTCACAAAGTAGAACTTCCACATACTAATACTTAAAAAAACGCAGTATTCAATCTGAAAGACTTTGAGGTTTCACTAGTGTTGTTTAGGAATAAGACAAATAAGCTGTTTTAGAATATTTAGCTAAGTAATATTCCCCTAATAATACAAAGCACTTATTCTGGGCCAAATTCTATAATCAACTTCAATTTTTTTTTTTGTGTTATTGTAATACAATTTGCATTTGCTAAACCAGACCAATATTTGTCCCATTCTAGGAAGTGACAGACAGAGGAAAATGTCATCCTTTCACATTTCTAGTACAGGTAACTATGGTGTATGATGAATGCTTACTTCCCTGTATCAATCAATCCTTGCAAACCAATTTGCTTACATTCTGAAGTGAGCTGCATTTACAAGAGGGGATCGATTCTTAAGAGGATTATGTCAAAACAAGATGTAGTCTAGTAACAAACAGTTTTGGAGGAGTAGCTCAGGATAACAAGTAACTAAGCAATCTACTGAATCACTGGTTTTTGAGTACCACCCTCTTTCTCTCTCATTTCTACTTAACAATTTGATAAAATTAATTGTAGTAGCCTACACTTTACACAATTGTATGTGAAGTTCTTTGCTGAAGAGATTTTTTTTCACAACACAAGACTTTACAGATTCTAAGCACTTTTACTTTTTGGCAGTAAATATGTTTGCATTTACGATTATTGTGCAAATTTTTCAAACACATTAAAAAACTAAACCAATGCAAGGAGGCCATATGATATTTTATAATAAGAAATTACACTATTCAAATAAAGTATAACTACTATATTCATGACAGAATAATAGATTATGTCCACTTATTAAGCCTACCCTCATTTCCATCGTGCAGTCAGTGGGAATTTTGCTACTGACTGCTAAAGAAATTGGATCAGTCCTGTAATGAATAAAGAACACAGATATCTGAGAAAACATGATTACATGTTTTCTGACATATTTTATGGTTTCATTTCTTTTAAATATAAACTTTAATACCAGCAAACATTATAAAAGAAAAAACTGTGGCTTAGCCAGTGGTCTATATGTAGAACCAAAAACCTGGATTCATAAAAGGTTTTACCATATGTAAATTTTGAAGATCTGGTTTTATGTGATCCACTCTGATACTCGGCATGCAGCGCTCATGTCAGACATTTAAAGGAATATTTTATTTTTGGAAGGTATAAAATTGCCTGTAGAAAACTCATTGCATAACCATAACCTAAATTTTGTTATGAAATTCACCTTTATATTTTATCTTAATTATAGTAATTATAAAATATAATGATTTCTCATGAAAGCCCTTTATTTTCTTATTGTTTAGCCTATTCTACTTCTATATTTAAGTTTCCTTTCTAGACCTACCAGTTAATGTTTTTTTCTGAATATTGATCTGAATTTCTGAATTGTTAGTCTCATACTTTGACAATATTTCTGAAAAACCTTTCTTACCTTTCCGATTAGAATTTTTATCTTCATATACTTGATAATGCACTCCTCAGTTGTTTATTTGTAAAGCTTAATAAGACATCATCTAAGATAAAAATGAGACTAACAAATACAATTAAGCCAAGAAAAACTACTTTTCAAAATTTAGCCAAGATCTATATTAAAGTAATATAGTAATAGTTCAAAGTAATACTAAATTTTATAAACTAACAATATAAAAATATCTGACCCTCTAATTTGCATTATAAAAATATCAGGATGCAATGATTAAAGGTTAAATTCAGCTGATGAACTGTAAAGATTTGCACCTGAGATAGACAACACAGAATCATTTGAAGAAACAGGCATCTTTAGAACACTCAAATACAAAGTAAAATGACTCAAATTTCAGATAAGTGCTTATTTCTGTCCATTGTCCATATAATGTAATCACCTGCTAATACATAAACATTTGCATGATCAATATCTAAAATCAAAATGAAATTATTAGCACATAATTATCTGATTATATATGTTACAGAAAACAAAGAACAAGATGGCTGCTCATGAATGTAAAAAAACCCTTCAAATTTTAGTTTATTTTTCTGTAGTGATTGTGATATTAATGTCTTAGTTTTTTAACTCTCTTATTAATCATGGAACATAATAATTCTCTATACATCTCTGCCCAATGGAATATTTTTTTGTGGGGGCTGACACCTTCTACGACAGCCCTGGAGGGCAATATACATGTTCTTGTCCTGCTGTTCTGGCTCCCTGGAAAACTGATAAGTAGAAGGATGACTGTAGATGATGATGCATGCTGAGATCTTCCCCTATTGATGGGCTTGCTGCTTCAACTGTCCACTTGGCAAGTCTTTTTAAATTACCATCAATTAACTGAAAACAAGTAAGGGTTGAGTTATTTAGAAACTAATAAAGGAAAACATAGTGTCACTCCTTTGAGAGCAATCAACTGATGTGTACTCCCTTTTTCATATCACCACCCTTTTTCATAGCAGCCTGTGCACGGTATAGCCAGTTTCTCTAAACACCAGCTTAGAAATGTCATAAAACTTGGGATTTATTTCTAGTTAAATTAAGAAAAATGCAACTGAAAGTCATTTATGTGTATCAGTGACTTATTTCAGCATGTTTATAATTAAGATATCAACTCTTCAGAAAAAAAAAAAAAAATCCCTCTAAAGGTTTCATCAGAGTAATATTCCATTCCAGAGAGAAATCAGCAATTAGATTCTCAGAAATAAGATGAGAATTCATGTTAATTAGCATTAAACAAAAATTAGGCCTGACTTAAAGGAGAAATCTGTCAACTCTGAGGCAGAAGTGCACTATAATATCAGCAGAAATGGCAACTTCAGCCAGACACTATCTCTGTCCTTAAGTATTATGGCCTATGTGCCCCTGTAAGGACAATTGCTATCACCACCAGATATCACCAGACATTTGTGCTGCATCTCAGTGATTTTTGCAAGACACCATGAAAATAAAGACAATGCCATCATTTGTCAGAATGCCCAGGACTAAATTAAGTGTTTTTTCCATATGAGGGATGTTATGAGGACATTATGATACAGGAAAGTAGTTCATGAAGTTTCATCTAGTGAGGTGAATTGTGGACAATTTCAAAATTCGAGGCATAAAGTTCAAGGTAACTTTCAGTACTTTGAAAGTAAAAGAAGCTACCTCAGTGAACTCAGATTGTACACACTTGGGAAAGGAATCCAGAAAATTTAGCAGCATATTAGCATCCTGGCTTATTAAGTATTTTTCATTTTGCTAGTCCACGAATGATTGAGATTCAATGAATTCAGTCAGTGGCTGAATCATCAGTTTAACCACCAAAAGCTGATGAAGATCTTGATCTTGATGAGAGAATTGATGTATCAATTCTTAGTTTCTCTGGAAACAGAAGCTCTAAAAGTGACCTCCTTTAGCAGTGAGGTAGTTGGCTGTGCTGTCACTAAGCCAGTCGCAGATATGACAACATATTTTATTGATGCAAAGGAGGAGAAATTAATGAGTCAAATACATCTGTGTTAAAAACCCTGTGCTACCTTAATAGTTAACAGAATAAATGAGATGGTATATTTTCAGGACATAATTAATCTTGCCTAAATGTAGACGTTTAAAATATTTCAGATTAATTTTGCTTGATAAGTGTCCATTTCTCCCTTCTTAATCTGGAATAAAATTAGGAAGACTAATTTGTGTACAACACTGGTGCCTAAGGATACGTAACTGATGTCTAACATGATGAATAATTTATTTAATAATTTTTTTATAAAAATGTTACAATTTCAAATTGTTTTGCTTCTGTCCCCTTAAAATAGCAATAGAGCACATTAATCACACTCACAGTTTTTTTGTTTACTTGACTTGGAACGTGATCATGTAGCATTTCAACAAAATAATGAATCCAGAACAGATTTAAAACTGGTATTCCTGCTAAACACTTACAGAAGGTTTGATTATTTTATTGTGTTTAAACCTATTTTCTGCCTTAAACGCCTCAACAAAAATTTTAATTAAAAATTCATTAATAGTGTCAAAAAAATTCTTATAAATCCATACTTAATTTTATTGGACTAAAGTCTATTTACTCTAACAAATTTCATGCTATTCAACTCCCACGGTATAGTTACTTATACGTAGTTACACATGTTCTTGTGTCCTGAACTTAGATTATATGAGGTTCCATTTTCATTTAGAGCTGGATGACATCAAAATATCTCCAGCACAAGAGCTCCAACATTTAACTTCAGTTTTGCCCTACATCATAAAAAGCTATGTCTTTTGTTTCCACATTCCCAATTGAGAAATTTGATCATCGACAGATCTCAATGCATTTTAACATATTAATTTTAAATGGTCTTGTTTAGTACTAAAGGGTACTGGAAAACGTCTAGAGTTTCTTGGAGAAGTTTGGTTAATATTCTTTGAATTAATATCACACATCAGGCATTTGCATTCTAGATATTTCTAAGCTTAGTATATGGTCTCTTTAAAATCAGTGGTAAGAAATAAATACCTCAACTGATAGCATTACATGCATTTTAAACTTCTACTTAAGATGATATGAATCATACCTTAGACTTTTCTGTTTATCTCCACTGACTGTAGAAGGAATATATGTAAATATATGTAAATGGATGTGACAGAGATCTTTACACTGTTGACATCTACATTCAGCCAGGTAGACCAGAATCACTTTGTCTCTCTGGACTTGACGAGATTGTGTTTTGCACTTTTTCTCATGGTATACCATACTTCTGTGAGAATGCACTCAGGTTACTCAGAGAAAAAGGAGATCAAGGAATCATAGGACATATAGTAAACATACCTTATCACTGGAAATTTAGAAAGCTCCCTTCGTGATACTTTTTTCACTCCTTTCCAGTGAACGGCAATTTCAAATGAAGGATGAAAAGGATCATCCCAATGACACAACTCTGATTAATCTCCCAGGAACCAGTTGGGTGAAGAGTTATTCACAGTACTGTGTAAAAAACTACAAGGTTTTAATTCACAGCATTAAAAATACTACGGTAAAGCACTGTAATTGGGAGACAGCAGCTGTAAACTTTCCTGCTCCAGAAAGTTTGAGCAGTCAGTTGTCACTCTCTGTTCTTTGCAAACAACTGGAATTCTTTCTCCTAAGGCTTATATACTCATAGAACTGATCTCAAACCCCGAATAAATTAAAAAGTACTGTCAATGCAATACTAAAGATCACAGTTTTAATGTATTAATTTTTATGTAGATTCTCTGGAGATACTCTACACACAATTAAGGAATTATGCAGAGAACCTTTTACTTCCATCTTTTATATCCCCAGGCTTATTTTTCTGTACATGGTGAAATTTCTTTTAATATTTTTATTACACACAAGCATAACACACATTATATTGCAGAAACATTTTACTTTAAACTCAGATGAATGAATAACAAACATCTCCCTCATGGTGTTTCTACATCTCCCAGCAAATCAGGGGAGGATACAGTTCAAGCGTGACTGCCAGTACATCTAATTCTTACCATGCAGATGAGCATTCTGATGCTATAATGTCTTTGTGATCATTTACAAATTATCTTTGTAAGTTTAAAAGTTCCAAATACCAACTTTAAATCATTAGCTTAAAGCAGGCAAATCGACCAATAAATAAACAAATAAATCCTAGGGCATATCTTCTTCTTTGAAGTACGTAATTTATCCGTACATAATGTCATGCTGGTTTTAGACATAAAACTATAATCTTCAATAGCACATTAGTAAGAAGTTAAACCATCCCTCTCCCAAGAAGTCAAACTAAGGTCTGTGACACTGTAAGACTTCAACTAGAAAATTCTAACATTAATTTTTCATGTGATTTTTTTAAAACAATAATTTGGTGTAATCGGTGTATTTTGAAAATCTGCTAAATGAGTTTTCATATTCTTGTTACCTGTAGTTCTGATGCAGCAGAGTAACTGAGGATATCTAAGTTAGAAGAAACATAGCTTTCTGTCTCCAAAACAGTTTGCAAAGTTCATTGCTCCAGAGAGAGAAGTGAGGACCCTCCCTGCATGATATTCTATTTGACAACACTGGTGCTGTAAACATCATAATGAAACCTCTAAACAATCCTGAGATGATTAGGTGGTATTTTAAGACAGTCTGGGCACACCAGTAGTATGAAAACTTTCCCCTGGTCTAACTAATTTACTAGCACAGTTCCCATTCCCCATTAGGCATGTAGAAAACACCTCTAGCTAATTATGCTTCTCCTTTATACAGGTATTTTGTAAATAACCAGTGAACACATAGATGCAACTAGAGACTCATGATTAGGTGAATAGATACCAAACAGTTAATTGTTAAACTCCTGTTAAATATACAGCACAGGTGAAGAGATGGAAGTAATACAGTAACCTTGGTTTATGAAAAGAATAATAAATTTTTGATCAGTATTTTGTAAATTGTCATCTGGATATGGATTCTTTTTTTCTTTGGGTAACCCTGAATGCTGAAAACAAGGGTGTTATAACTGAGAAATTACATATGATCTTCACTGAAAGTATAACGTGGCCTCCTTTATTTGTTTTTTTTTTCTGGCTAAATCTAGACACTTTTATTCATTCAATTTTATATTAGAATACACTGGAAGGGGTTCACTTAGTTTTTTGTTTGTTTTTACTTTTGTTTTCCCTGTAAAGTTCTCCTGTTTAAGAAGACTTGTACCATAAGCATTTTTAGTCATGAGCATACCTAAGGTGTACTCGGTTATAACTGACTTACATTTTGCTTTGGATCTCTTAACATTTTCACTCAAATCTCAATGTAGAATATTAAAATCAAAGTGGTCTGGGAAAATTGTACACAGAGAGGAAATAGCTTCTTTTGTGTAGAAAATAAATAGTATATTAACTTTCACTATAATATGTTCCATGTATTTTTATACATATACTTTGGTACATATGTTTATTTTTTAAAAAATGCAATCTACCACCTTGAAAGAAAATTTTACTGTAACTGCTGCATCAAGTGACTTTTTCATATATATATAGCAATTATTTTAGAGGTTTGGGTTTTTTCTCCGATGACAAGAACATTTATTTGATATCTTAGTGTTTCAGTGAACTCAAACATACAGAACCTTTAAAAATAAATTTTACAAAATCTGTCTTTGCATACAATGCATTTTAAACTCATGCAATATTTTGATTTTTTTTTTGCTTTGGGTTTCTTTATTTTTCTCTTTCTATACAGGCACATATAACTTCCTTATTTTCTACAGCAATTTCTTCATTTCTCCCTGTACATTAAGACATTTCACAGTAGTTATATGAAATTATACTATAACCAAACTAACTTTACAGGCCTTTGGAATAATTTGATTTGTTTGGGTTTTTTTTTCCTTTCTTGAGAGATTTGCATTTAACCCAACAGTTTATGACACATGAAAAAAAAGAAGCCTTGAAGACCTTCTGAGATGTGAAAGAATTGTTTGTAATTCTGTGGGTATATCGTTGAGTCATGTGCCTCCATCAGTGCACCTTAATGCTTGTAATTCCATAATACAACATATCATGTACTTTGGGTTCACTTGCTCGTTCATGGAGCTGAGTCCTGCACCCTTTGTTTTTTTATGTATTATTTTGCATCCTTCATTTTTCTTTCCCTTTCGATTTTTCTTTCCTCTTCTCTTATTTGAAATCCTGACCTATTTAATTTTTTTAATTCCTCCAGAGGCTACTAATAAATATTTTCCTACATCATAAAGTCCCATGAACAGTTCTCTACCAAGTAATTTTCTTAAATTTTACCATTTCAAACACCTTTGAAAAGGCTTCAGTGTTCCCCATTTTTATGGCATTTAAGTTATGAATGAGGTGCTAGTACTCTCTTTCTCCATCCCCAAAGGAAGGCTCCAGGTTTTACCTTTAACTCTGACACTCTATTTGAGTGACTACACTGTTTACTCTCTTTCTTTATACTTTATGTTTTCTTCTTGTAGTATGAGAATAATGATGCAGATTTTATCTAGAAATTGCTCATTGCCCTTCAGTGGTTACACAGTCACATACATGTGAGCATTATAAGTAGACTTCAAGCCTACACAGTTATTTCCTTGTTTTCTTTACCAAACAATACTGCATATTAATTACCTTCATCCTGACCTACCTTAATAACTGTTATTGTTCAACAATGTTAAATGTCATGACCATTTACATCTTTCTTGAATTTAATAAATGAAAATCTGTTCTATCATGCTGTCTTGTGTTTGAGCTTTTAACGATTTTACTTTTTTATTTTTGGAAGCTTTTACCACTAATGTAGAGCTGTAATCATGGACAATTCTAGATTCCAAATGATTACAGATTTTATATTTACTATAAATGTCATGCTTTGTACATTACTATTTCCTAATGGGTGGATAACAGCTCCATCCATTCATGCTGAAATGTCAGAGAGAATTACATTATTCAGAATTTTGTTTCCTTTATTTTAGGGGAGGGAGAACAATCCCATTTTTTATTTAATTAAAGAGAAACTCTACTGCCACTGACAAGAGACTGGTAGTTTTGTTGCATCCTTTAGAAGTTATAATACCCAAATAAGCATGACCATGGGGGTTTTGTTTTCATGACGTACATTAAGGAAAAAAAAAAGAGCTCAAAAGAAGGAGGAGAGATAGAACAAGATATATGGCAATGACAATTAGGGTAAATTGTCTGATAAGACAAGATATGAAACTACACAGAACACACCTGTTTTTATTGCAAAAATTCTCCTTGTCTTCATATGATAGATAAAATAGATATCTTACTGGTGAAAATCCCCATATTAAAGAAAAAATCCCATTTGTTCTGTAACTAGCATAGAAAATGCAGTGGTTTTACTATGCTACAAATACAAATTGGTTGGAAATGCATTTTTAATTTTAAAATTTTATAAAAAAAATTAAGTATATGAAGGAAAATTTTTTAGAGAACAACTACTTTACCTGTGACTGATTCAACACAGGGGATAAAAGATATGAAGGGTCTGAGCCTGCCTCAACTCTTTTGAGCTCCTGGGTCCAATTCTACTCGTGCTTCAGAACTTTGGTAGGGTTTTTATATCACTAGAGAAAGAGTACAGAAAGACTGTACCATGAACTTTCTTACCCTTGAGATATGTCTTTTCACAGTGAAGAGATAAAACTATACTGCCTGGGAATGATATATATATGTCAGAAGAGAATTCACTGAAGACAGGAAATCCTCTGCCAGCAATTTTCAACTGGGTTATTGTTCATTTGTAGCAGCTGAGTGGCACAATGGGATCATAGCTGTATTTCAGATTCTGGCACAATAGTTCCCTGAGGTGTTTCCCTTACTGAAATAGTTGAATTGCTATACATTTTATATATTTCATGATCCATTATAGCCCTAGAAAACAAAACAAAAATATACAAAATTATATTTTGTCTATAGACATTATTTATATTTCCTGTACATATAAATTGTTTTTACAAAATTTTCTGATACTTCTTTGCTGCATTTTTTATGCAAACTATGCTTTCTATAAATAGCTCTTTGAATTCATACCATCTAGCTATAAATGTTCAAGTTTTTGAAGTCACAGTCCTAATATATAGATAAGAGACATGCTCTGGCATTATACCAATTATATTTCTGGAAAGATTAGATTCCTACTACCTCCGTCCTCCCAGGCTTAAGGCCTAAAGGATATTTACGCTAGTGATCAACAAGATTGTAATGCTGTTCTTTCCTATTTTGAATATAGATTTAGTGTTGGTTTGTCACTTCAACACACTGGTATGTGTCGTAGAAACTCTCTACAGTGCACGTTTCTCTTGGATTATTAATATTGACCCTCAAAAACTAACATAGAGGGGTAAAAAAGGAAAACCAAACAATGTTCAAAAAACCAAAAAATTATACGAAAGAACCTTTCATTTTTATTTCTTCCTAAGGCTGGTTGCTACAGTCCTGTAATGCATATCTCAGAAAAATACATCTAGTTGTCTAGTTTACATATTAACAGGCTTGACCAAAAGCTTTCTGACATTTAATTAAAACCAAACCCAAACCAAATCAAAAATAACCAACCAATCAACCAAACCAAAAAATTCCACATTTTTTTTCCATCCGTTACAGTGGTATGAGAATGATTAAAATGTTGCAAGATTACCTGGATATAATATATTCCTATTTTTAAGACTATCTGAATATACTTATATTCCTTGAGGTACACATAAAACAGCTGCAAAGATGTGAAAACTTGTTTTACAGCAACGTAAAGCATCTTATGAAATACTTTGGCTATTAAAAAGTGCAGCAATCATGATATTACTTTTACTTATTCTTGTTCACAGATTTCTGTTTACATTTCTAACAGCTATCTTCCTTAAAGTAGAGATTTGGGTTTAGTTGTGATTTATGGCAGCATAAGGGAAAAAACTGCCAGAAGTGATTTTAATCCATTAAAAGAAGCTTTATAAAATGATGAAATCACAAATTACAGATGCCTTCTGCCAAGTATAACTTTTTTCGTATAATTAAATCCTAACGTACAGTTGTCCTTCTGTTATTTACTAAAAAGTCTAACTTTTATTTGTTTACTTTGCAGAATAGTTTTGCTAATTACTATTTAAAGCTGTTAGGAGATATCAAATTAAGGCAATAAGTATCTTATGAGTAACATGCCATTCTAAAAAAGAAAACAGAAAGAGAGGAACTTTTTTAGAATGTAGTTCTAATCTACTGTAAATTGCCAATCTCCTTCTGAGTCTTGCTAAGCATCATCAGCTGCACCTGAAGTCAATGGGAGTTGTAAGTGCTCATGACCTTTTTAGCATCTAGCCCTGAGCACATGGTACTTTTATGCCTCATATTTGTCTAGGGCTTAAAAGAAGCATCTGGAAGCTGTTTAGAAGAAAGGCACTGGGAATTTAATCCCGTGAGGTACCTTTCTGTGTGCATCCTGCTTGCCACCAGCTGATTCTGTGATACTTCTTTTTAAAACCAAAGGGAAACTGATAAGTTCAGAGGCAAATGACTCCACTAGGAGGATTTTCCCATGAGGCAGGTAAGACAGTTAATGTCAGAGATGTGAAAGAGGTCTCACTTTACTGCTCAAGAGCTACCCAAAGCAGTTCACTGAGAACTACTCTTGCTCATCCTTTCACCTTGAGAGATGACTGTTGGGAAGGTTCACTTCCAGTGTGGTGACAACCACTAGGAGAAGGCTCTCCTGTCATATGGTAAACATATACCCAGTGACTTATTGGGGAACAGAAGAAAAATTAGGAAAAGCCTAGAGGCTGTCTGCTAATAGTAAAACAATTCATATGGTCTGCAGCTTACTTTCTCTCACTTTTCTGAGGACAGGGAAAAAACTATACCAGAGTATTCTACACTACTTTATCAACAGAAGCTTATTTGCAACTCTACAAGAAAAAAAAAATTGTATTTCCAAGCACAGACTTACCTGTTAGTCTGAGGGAAATGCATTAACCCTACCACCTTCAGGGAGACCTTAGATGAAACTAAACTAAGTAGCAAATTCTACCACACAAAATTTCTGGAGCTGTCAGTTTGCTTACCAGTGTCACTTGGCTATAGCTCTTTAGTCAAAGTCACTATCCATTTTTTTAGAACTTTGTTCTAAGGTTTACTTGTATTTACCAACACAAGAATAGAAAACAAGTCCAATCATTAAGAGAGAGAATAAAAAAGAATGGACCAATCATGGACAATTCTCATTTTGTATTTTCCGTTTTCAATCCTTAAAATTGCCTTAAAAAGCAATACCTTTTCTTATTAATGCTAATCAGAAAAGTACTTACTTCAATAGAACACAGTGAGAAATTTTCCAGGCAGTTTTCTTAAGAGAAACCTGTGTTTTCACTGTTTCTTTTATTGATGGAGGAGAAAAATCAGAAAGCTGTTACTTACTAAAACAGGTGATTTCAATTAAAAAGGTCTGATGCATTTTTGAAGGACTAGAACCCAATAAAAATTACTTTCCTGTGTCTCTGGCTTATGGACATGATCTGGGAAAATGAGAAGTGAAATGATATTGCATCTGAGATACCTTACTGGGAAAAAATCTATTCTTTCATCTGGAAAAATTGCACTGTCACTGGAGAAATCAGTTCTCCATTTTTACTTGTCATTAGGCCCAATGAGAACAAAAGCCCAGGTAAGAATTATGACATTCGTGACAATATATTGTGCCTCACAAGAAAAAAAATGAGCTACAGATTTTTTTCTCTATGACTTTTCTATAAACAGACAGTTTTATATGATGTTAGCCAGTATTTCCTTGTGATTACTGAGAAATAGTTCCTTCTTTAAATATTGGATAGATGCTGTTTTTATGTGATATTTGTAATTGTTATGAAAATTATAAATTTATTTTACTGCTCTATTGAATTCTCTTATACATCCACCAAGTTTCATAATTTTATCTAGATCTTGTAATATTCTCAGTTTCAGAAAACTGAAAGGTGTGGTGAAATTTAACTTTTTCTAATTTTCTTTTGAATAACTTAATTACTGCTTGACATAATGTAGTAGTTTTGAAATTTTGTGAATCTTCACTGAGCCTTCCTGTTCTCTGCATAAATATTTTGATGAGCCTTAACTATCCTTTTCACTCATATGCAATGTGTTTTGTTCTTTTGAATTTATGGTCAGATTGGAAAACGATACTCATTTAGTTGGTGACATCAGTGGTATTAAGTCATGTTGCAGTTGTGTTAAGTCGGGAATTTTACTAATCCTTCTTATCATTATATTTATTTTATATCATGTTTAGGGAAGCAAGTAAACAACAAAGTATGTGAAAAGGTAAATTACCATGAGATCATAGAGGTTGTACCTCAAAGACGTAAAAAGTCTGTGCTGACTCTGAAATTTACTAAACTTATATCACTAGAGAAGTTAATTAGGATGAGTTCCAAAACAGTAGAAGTATTTTCTCAAACAACAATAATGCAACAGTGGATGTGTCTTAGAAAATGTTACGCTGACAGAGACTAAATTGGTGTTGATTTTCATGGGAAAATAGATTAAAAATATGTAACAACTAATAAACTCATTATTGTACTTTTTAATTATTTTTTTTCCTTAGTTTCTAATGCCAGTGGTTAAAAGAGTTTTATCAAACATAATATCCTTGCTCTATGTTGGTACAGAGTTGGCCTTAAAGTATTCCACTGATTGGATGTAAATATTAGGAAGAAAAAACTACTATTACTAACAATCACTCTTGGCTCAAAATCCAGGCCAGAAGCTTGAAAAAAGTTTTCTAACAGTCAAATTAGAAATTGGAGTTTAAAATAGTATTTCTTAAGGACTACAGGGAATAAAACAGTATTAAAGCTAATACGACTGCACCCCATAATAATTAAAACCATAAGTCCAAAAGTCGCAATATTTTTCTAGTACTATTTTTTGATTCCTAGAGCTCTAGCACAGCTGGTATTTATGGATAAAATCATTCAACAAGCAATTATTTAAAAGCAGGATATATTGTCTTTCAAAATATTAATGATATAATTGATAATTTCATAAATTTAATTGCAATATAAAAAAAATTTAGGAATTATAGTAGTAAAATCCCCCATTCAGTGAGTCACAATAAAAAGTATTTATTTATTATATTTGATTTCTTTCATAGATCTTTTGCTTTAACATTATATTAAGATAAGTTTTTAATTAATTCTAAAGTTCATTAATTCAAGTCTCAGTACACAATAAGTGTTCCTTAAATTTTATAGCAGATTTTAATTGTTGGTGCTTTGTTCTGTAGGAACTTTTAGGTACCTGAACTTATATACTTGAAAGCAATGAGGGTTAATCATAATGGTATTCCTGTTCTTGTCTTTAAGTAGCTCTTGATTAATTTAGAATACTCTGCGACACTGGGGTATAATGAATGAAAATGACATTCCAAAAGCACAGCACCATACAAGCTCATAAGGCTTTCATAAATAGCATAAGCAACTACTGCAGACTTATTTAATTAATGGGCTGTGCCTGCCTGGAATGACTAGCCTTTCACATTTTCTTTCTGTTAATTTTATAATATGACATAAGAGATGAAAATATATTACACATCTTATTATGACTGTTTTGCCTTTAGGGATAAAAAGAAATTGAATGCATTTCAGTCAAATTTATCAAGTAGAAATGAAAGACACTTGTGCGTAGCAAGAAAACTTTATTCCAAAACTAAGCAACCATTACAATTTCATGTATTTGCTGTGTGTCTTGTCTTTAAGAGCAACCAGCAGTAGCAAAAAAATTGTCCTTCATTCATTTTAAGTCAGCAAAAGACAGAGTATTCTAGTGGCTTAATCTAAAACTTGCTGAGCAGATAATCTAGTTTAATTATTTGCTGTGCTACGGATTCTCTGTTATCTGGTGTAAATTGACTAGACATTTAAGAGTAAATGCCTAACAATGCAGATTTTAGCTGTTGATAACTGCTTTGGGAATAAGATGCATGACAATTATCTAGTCTGTTCAGTGACACAGTTTCCCCAAGTTTTGGACATAAAAGGATGTTGCTCAGCTCAACCCCTTTCCCAGCATTGCTGTGTGGGAACACACTCTGCAAAGTCTGTGTAATCCCTCACAGGTAATAAAAGCCTGCTCTACCTTCACTCAGAGATAACTAGAAGTGCTGCTAATTTTTGTATGCATAGTGTTTAGAGTCCACGACAAGGTAGGATTTGCTAGCATCAGCTAAGTACTGCAGCAATTACTCTTAAGTAGTTACTGGAGAGATTGGTGCATATGGCTATCTTATGTCTGCCCTCAAAAAGCATCCCATCAAATGTATGAGCCACAGTACCTCACAGTTTCACAGTCCAAAAGCTTTTTTTTTTTCTTTATCAGTCTATACACATACTGGTGTGTATATATGTAAGTCTGTGCCTATATGTGTGATGAAATTCCAAAGCTGAAAACCCACCTACAAATTTTACTGAAAGTGCACTGTTGACATAAATTCAAATCCCTTCTTTTTTAGGATTAAAGTTGTTCACTGAAATACAGTACTATTGTTGTAAGTTCATTCATTCAGCAACAACTTATAATTATTACCTGGTACATTCTCAGGCAAAGTATTTCCAGAATTTCTATCTCTTTTGCTAGCAAGGGAATTATCTTCTAATGTGAAATTTATGTTCATTGTAGAGGAAAGTAGACCGGGAAAAGGACAACTCTATGTGACAGCGATTAGATTGGCAATTTCATTTGACATCAGTGTTGTGCCATCTACACAGCTGCCTGTGATCACTGATATATAGAATAAAGTACTTATGACTGTTCTGCAGTGCTTAATTGGTTTGTTTCACCAGCTGGTTTATATCTGTCCTATTATGCTTTGGAGTATCACACATTTTTTCAGCCTTTTTGTTTGCTATTACAAGCAGGCTACTGCATTTGTAAAATCCAGCAATTTAATAACTCAGTATGAATCAGACTATGACTCCATAGTATCTTTTCAAAAGCTGTTGTAACACTTTCACCATTTTCTCTGGGGAGGTGGATGCTTTGGATTGTAATAATAGGATCAGAAATGATGAGCACCTCAGTTTAAACCTGTATAAGTAGACATTTGAGATTAGAATGAGTTTAATTTGATTTTTTTAATAGGTGCTTATATGAGAATAAGATTAATCTTTCTCAGGAAATACTTATCTCCTAAGAAAAAGATGTTTAATCAGCTTGTAAATGAGTAAATTATTACACTTATGCATCAACTTCACCTGGTATGTCTCAATTGAAACTGAATTACAAATTTCTTGTACTCCTGTTATTAGTATGGTACTAGAGGAGTAGCAACCTTTCAAAAACTGATTTGATGTGCATCACCATCTACCTGGATGTAATATTTTCTTCTAAAAACATCTCACTGAAGGGAATATTCTTGGTTAGAATAAGTAAATAAGAATCAAAAATTTTCCTCTCTTCTGTGTAATCATCAAGGCTTCCCTTACCCTGACTGCTCAACTATTTCATCAGATACCAGACATATAGACTAATTCTTAATCTTCAGGTTTATGTTCATATTTAGCATTTGCTTAAGATTTTAAATCTCTCAAAGGCTTTTCTGTTGTTTCTCCCCTTCCTTCTTTCCTAATAGGTGTAGTTTTCTCCTACATCCCTGCAATAAACTTTTGGAAATTACTCAGGATAGATATATTTTGGTAATAACCTTCACAGTTTTTTGTGTAA